TTCATATAATTCCAAGATTTGATAAAAGTAATGAATATTTATTAAATAAATATTTATTTTAATAAATTATAAATTTTGAAATATTTTTAAAAATTTTTATTATGAAAAAACTCCAGAGTTTTTTATTATAAAAATTTTTCCATTATAAAAATTTTCGAAGCTATTCAAAGATTTCCAGAGATTTTCTGAAAATTTCCTGATATAAGACCACTGCGCATGACATAGCCTTTGGCAAATACTCTTCCTATAAACCTACCTGGCCTATTATAGAGTTCTGAAGGAGAATCTTCAATCAAAAGTCTTCTTCCTAAGTATCCTTTCTTGCCATTAGAAGTCCAGGTTCTACCTTATTCACTTTTGACTTGAAACTGACACTCAAGTCAACCAGAGGAACGAAGAAAAGATGAAACTAGATGGGAAGTGCTTTATAGTGTGTTTACAAAGTATATTTAATGATAGTGTAGCAACTTTATTAGTACAGAAATATAAAACTTCTGACGAACATTGCTTTGAAATTGGTGATAAAATTGATTAGTGGAAAGAGTTTTTATCTGAAGTAGATATTATACTGTAAATAGTTTATATAACCCATAATATTTATTATTAATTAAATTTATTTGATAGTTAAAATAGTATATCTATAATATGTGTTTCACTTTTCTTTATAATTTGTATTAACTTATGTTTTTTATAGTCATATTGAATTATATGTTATGAAAAAATAAGCTGTTTACTTTTGTGTAGTATTGTATTTTGATCAAATATATATTATTGTTTACTTTAATCAAATATGTATTATTGTTTACTTTTAATTCCAGTTGATTGATATTGTTTATCAAAACAGTTTAGTTAAAATATATAAGATTGAGAAGTTAATTACATTTTTATTCGATTATCTATTTGACATATAAACAAGTTATTGTATTCTTGAATAATATGTTCATGTTTTGTATAATGTAGTGATTATTATATATTATTGTTGTAATGTTTTGATACTCTTTACTATTTAATAAAAGAAACTTGGACATTCTTCTAGGTATTATGAACCTTGAGTCTAAACTAATTTATTAATTTGATCATGATTTACTGGATTTCTTTTGATATTAAGAAAGGTATTAATTTACACTGACCTAATTGAAAGCTTGAGGAGTTGAGATTGGATCATAAAGAGCTTATTATAAATCAGTTTTCTTAAAGTTTTTTTTTTTTTTGTAAAAAAAGAAAATTTATAAAGTATAGCTGAAATATGCTTGTTCTTTTCTACTTTTTGTTATTAGAAGATTAAATACACCAAAAATTGATTCTATATAGTTATTTCTTGTTGATTTGCTATTTTTTTAAAAAAATTAGGGATTAGTGAAAAAAGTTTTTTTTTTTTTTTTTGAATCAACTTATTTTCTTTGTATTTTTATTATTTCCTTTTTTACTTCTTTTCTAACTTTCTTACTATAATATTTCAAATTTGCTATTTCTATAATTGGGTCTTTCTCAATTAGTTTTATATAGAAGTTGAGTATATTCTAACTAGTTTCTGAAATTTTTTCTACTAGTTTTACAATTTGTTTATTATTTCTTCTATTTCTATTCTATTATCTATTATTATATTTAGCTCTTTTTTTCAAATTTTTTTCTATCTTTAAAGAGCTTTTTGAATCTTTTCAAGACTTTTTATATTCTTTTTTACTATATCTTATTTCACTAAGTATTATATGTAAATTAAGTATTCTAGCAAATGTTCTATTATTTTTCTTTCTGATTATATACAATATATTTTACTTGCTTATAAAGATTTGGTCTTTATATAGTCAGCTTAGTTAATGTTAATAATTTATTATTGGTTAATTTGATGAGAAAGCTTTTGTTTTGTAAACTCTTAAAAAAGGTATTTTATGTATATCTATTCTTAAATTGTTTCTATACTAGGTTAAATATATATTTATACTAGTTTTAATTTATTGATTCTATTTCTTTTTAATTCTATCTTAAGTTATTTATTGATAAACTATTATTTTATTATTAATATTTTTAGTGATTTATCTTATTGAAGCATTCAGTATTATATCTTATTATTTAATTTCTATAATAATTTTAAATAAGACAAAATTTTTCATTTTATCACTAAGAATTTTAATATTTTTTTTTGACAAGGGCATCTACTTATTTATTATATTGAATATTGAAATACACCTTAATCTTGGTATGCTTGAGATTTAGCTTTTTTTTCTTTACAAGATCAAATATTTATATTCATAGAAATCAATTTTATTTTTTTAATCATTTTTTATGGATTATTCTGGAATTTTCCTTTTCTATAGTCTTTCACTTTGAAATATAGACTTGACTATTTGTATAGATTTTGACTTTGTTGTTTATTGAAGTTATTAGTAGTATAATTACTATTGCTATTAATTCTATCCTAGTAAATAAAAACTAATTAACTACTTCAGTTTGAAACTTGTCTTTTCTTCCTGACTTTTCTATTTATATTTATATTACTTCTATTTATATATATATACTTCTATGATTTATAAGGGATCCATCAAAATAAAATGTCATTGTTTCTTTTCTTTTTTTGTTATACTTAAGTATTTCCATTAAATGGATTTAATAAGTACTTTCTTCTATATGATTTTTAATGATATTTTCTTCTTAATCTTTTATTTCAATCTATAGTATTCTTTTATTTAATGTAATTACTTGATTACTATAGATTGTTTTATATATTGTTCCTTCTAATACTTTTTTAAATATTAAAATTTCCTATAATTAAATTCTTCCAATAAATTTTCTTGTATTGAGATAGAAAACCATATATATATTTTTTATATTTGTTTCAAGTATATATTGACTTTCTATTTTTATATTTTCTACATATTCCTGATATCAAATTAGTTTTGATTTTTAAATAGATTAATATATTTAAAATATTTTATTTTAATGTACCTTCTAGTATCATCTAGAATTAATTTTCTTCAAATTATTTATTATTGTTAAAACTTGTTTTTTATAATTATCCAGAATTTCTGTTATTTATTAAAATTAAAGTTGAGAATAGAATGTATTAAATTTTATTTGATCTATTCTTCTTTTCAGAATTCTATAAACTGTTTTAATTTATTTTCTTGCACAATCTTATTTATAGATTGATACTATTTTTTATATTATAATAAAAACAATAAAGCAAAAATATTATAAAAAGAAAATTAAAATTAAAGTAAAAAAATAAATATTAAAATATAAAAGAAAATTTATAATCAATTTTTTAAAAAAAAATATAAAATATAAGATATAAATAAAATGATGGATTTTAATCTTTTTTGAATCTCAAAATATTATTAGTTAGAAATATTTTTTTTAACTAAAATTAGTATTTACTAATATAAAAATCTTTTTTTTTTATTTTAAATTTTTAAAATTTAATAAACCATTAAATATAGACATGCCATCATTGGTTTACTGGTGCTTGAGTGTTCTACAAGTGAAATCTGGTGATTACGTTTCCGATATTTTACATATACATGCGCGAATGATCGCCTAATCTATCTAAAAATGACATCATGCCATTTTCGAATAACGTAGTTCATTTTGATATGATGCAACATTCCCGGATTTGTTTTTTGTATAAAAAGAGTACGCCGTCTCCTCCATTCGACATTTATACTAGTAAAAATGTTTAGATCGCATATATTAACCAGGTCATTATGGACTAAAACAATTAATGGATGTGGAATGAGTCACAAGACCAGTCGAATGTTTAGTAGCAAACTGCATTTTAATAATTTTACCATCAAACAAACACAGATTAATTTAAATTCAATAAACCATCAGCGTTTGACAACACGTAAATCTTTTCATAGTACAACGCAGGCGGCGATAGTCCCCATTTTACCAACTGTTCTTTTCTCCATCCCACTGAGTATTCCTTATTTTCTAACATTGCGATTTATCTCTTCAAGAATTCTTTTACCCTCTACCCAGAAAAGATTAGCCAAATATATTAGCACAACATTAATGATTATACCGATGGCATTCATGTTCACCTTTAATATAGCACCGAATACACAAAGATATAGGTTTATGATTTTATGGCCATGGGAGGAAAAGAAACTGGTGAATGCTGCCAAGGAGTGTGTCGAATGCGTGCTCGGATCGGAATCAATAATACCTGATGATGATCCGAGAAGCCAAATGGTTGAACAAGTTATAGACCATTTATGGAGACGAGGATTAAACAAAAAGGAATTATCGTCACCACCCCCCAAAGTTTACCTTATATCTAATGACGAATTACTTGATGGTGTATCGTATCCTTCATCTGTTATCACGTTAACCACGTGTTGGTTAAGCTTAATTGATAATGATCAAGATCTACTCGCTGCTCTATTGGCCCATGAATTGGCACACATAATTCAAAGTCATGCTTCCGAGTTTTATGGAATTTCATTCATGACCAAGGCATTAACTAAACTGGCCGATTTATTTGGCAAATTGATGTCAAGTAATGATAAGAACAATCAATTATCGAACTTCCTGCAGAAACACTCTCAGCGATTAGAACGTGAAGCTGATTTATTAGGTCAAGAAATTATGGCACGTGCCGGATATGATCCCGCGAAAGCTATAGAATTATGGGAATTGATGATGTTCGTCAAAAATTCCGACAAATCTCATAGTGATGATAAAGGGAATACGAATGCCTTTAAATATCATCCAAGTGAAGAAAATCGAGTAAAATATCTTACGGAAAATTTAACTCGTGCACGATATTTTTATGATAAGAATTGCTCTTATGCTTAATATTATTAAACGGATACTGTAAGTTCGTGTAAAAATAAAATTCATAGAGATTGATTATTGTAAATATGTTCATAATTTTGACAAGATTTTTTATAAAAAAAAAAATAATAAGTTCAAATTAGTTGGAGAATTTTAAATAAATATAGTTAAATTGTATCAATATCTTTTATATAATATTTTAAAATATAAATTTCAAAAGTTTTTTTTTATATTGTATATTAATATTTTTAATATTTTTATAAATTATTGAATTATTTTATTTTTATTATTGACAATTAAATTTATTTATTTATTTCTATATTCTAATAATTCAATATTTTAATTTAAATAATAAACCAATTTTTTTAAACTTGATATTTCAAAATTTTTATTATTATTATTTAACCCTTTATATATTTTTTATTGAATCAAAATAAGTTATATATATTAATTTTTTATATAATATTAAAGCTAAATTTACAACCAATTTATTTATTTTTATCTATATTTTTTTTTGAATACCTATAATTAAACTAAATAGTAATTTATTAATTAATTGAAAATATAGATATATTTTTATTTAAATAGTATAATACATACTATAGCTAAATATTAAAATACTATCAAATAGTGATATTAAACTCTTTCTACTAATTCCCTGATCATATACAAAAAAGATATTCACAAGAAGTTTTATATTTTCTTGTTAATAAAGTTTTTATACTTTTATTAAAACAACTTGAAACTTGTCTTTATTTATCTCTCCTACCCTTATTTACTTGTTTATAAACTCTTTTGAATAAAAACTTGAGTCTCTAGTGATCTAAAAAACTCAAGTATACACTTTCTCTATTAAAGACAAGAAGATTCTAGGAAATAAAAAGACCAACAAGTAAAGTGTTATCTCATAGAGCTAGAAGTGACAAAAAATAGAAGTTCTATTGATAGAAGAAAGTTTATTATCCATTTTCTTACATACTATCTTAATCCTTCTTAAAGTACTTATTGTTTTTTATTGTTTTCTTGAAGAATTTTGCCTACTTCAATTTGATCTTGAATTTTTGATAGCACAATATCACCTGATATTTGATTGGTTAACATGAAATATATTAATAGCTGAATATAAATAAGCTCCTATTTATCACCTCATATATTTCAATGATATTATTAGTAATTAAAAGAATTGATTGGTGCCTTATGTTTACCCATTCTTTCAATTTGGTTAAACTACAAATCAAGTTTCATGAGGTCAATAAGATACGAGCAACAAGTTCTTAGATAATAAAAAAGTTGCTATTTGTTCAAGCTGAGATCTTTCTCTCCTATCATCCTAATTAAGTAAAGTTCAAGACCAAGGTCTCACTCTTATCTCAGTTAGGCAATAAGACTGAATGGTCTCTAGTTTATATTAAGTTCCAACTCTTTGGTTACAATTGAGAATATATTTCCTTAGAAGCTATTAAAGAATATTGCAATTGATAAGAATCACTATCTCTTTCAAAACCTTTTTACTATTACAAGGCAAAAGAATTATTGAGGAATTTGATCTTTTGGATAATAGAAGATGTATACTAGTAAAATTCCTTTAACTAGGTATAACTGTTGGAAAATGTTATATTGAAACAATATGATCCAATTTCTACTAAGTTATATAAAAACCTGAAGTTCATCATAAGTTATCCATCTATTATAAATGGATAAAAAATTATTGCTCAAAAAAGGTTGAAACCAAGTATGTCTTAGAAGTAAAGACTTCCATTAAGTGATAAGTCTTCTTAGATGATACATAAGAAGAAAATCAAGATCAGAATAGATAAGTTCAGAAAAAGAAAAAATATCCCAATCAGGCATTTCTAATGGAGAAGAGATCTTGAGATATAGGTTTTTGGAGAAAGCTGAAAATCTTTTTTTCAAACTTTTACTTTTTTATTTTCTTGTTGTTTATTTAGACATTTTTAGATATTTCTTTTTTTCTTTTTTCAATCCATCCTTTTGTAATTTCCTGTATTTCAGTAGCTTGATAAGATATACAATGGGGACAATCTACTAGCAATAATACAGTAGACTAGGTGAGTTTTTATCCAAAGACATTGTAGAGTGAAATATTGTTTCCAAGGTCAAACTTAGAGAATTTTATATTTATAACAAGTTAGTTAGATTAGAATAATAGTTTAGCTGTAATATATATCATGTTGTTTAAATAAAAATGTACTTATATTTTCAATTAATTAATAAACTAACAATCTAACCTGGCTATGGGTACTCAAAAAAAAAAAATACTATAGCTAAATATTTCTATCAAATCTATACTTTGTGGTTTTTTATATTCCAGTAACTTAATAAGATATTGATTATTTGTAAATATCCCATAGTATGACACAATTTCCATAATCCTCTACGAAAACAAGAATATATTCTATATAACAGGAAGTGATTATACGATGTTAATAGTTATACTATAAGATAAGAACCTCTTCTCAAGAAGCAAGATCTCTTATCAATCCAACAAGACCATCAAAGTAATAGATATCAAATGATCTATAGAAGAACAATGGAAAAAGTATTGGAAAGATGTAGATCCCACATTAAAAACAAAATTGATGTTACTACTAGAAAATGAATCAAACAAGACATTAATAAAATTATAAATAAATTAAATATGGGAATGCTTTGAAAACCAAATAACATCAGCAGCCTTCTTCAAATTGACAATCAAGAAAATAAGGCCAAATCAGGAAAAGAAGTATCAACTGAGACCTGAATTCATTAAATATAGAAAAGCCATTAAACTTAATACACTGTTTAAAAAAGCAAAGCTAACCAAAGCACATAAAAATATATCCTTAATTTTAAATTGATACCTTATATCTACAATATAGTATAAAGAATATGCCCTGATCAGAAATTTCAAAAAAAATTTAGGATACAATTGAAACACTCAAAACAGTTTACAAAAATGAAGAAAATAAGAAAATAAAAGAAGTAATCAAAAAAGCATTAGAATGGAGATGTGACAATCTTAGAGACAATCAACAAAAAATGATTAGCTCAATCTTAAATAGAGAAAGAGTCAAAATAGTTTTTTTTTTTTTTTTTAATCTGCAATCATGCCATAATGGCATATCTTTATTGAAAAATTGAAATGAATTTACAATATTTTACAGACTTTCACAAAGTGACTAACTCGTTTTCATACAAAAGTACTCTAAGTCAAATTTTGGGGACAATATTTTACTCCTTAATAGATTGGTAATAATCTCTATCTACTAGGATCATTGCCAACAGTTTGTTACTATAAATTGCTCAAAAATCAATAAATTGCTAAGTTAAAAAAGGAAAAGGAGAAAAAAAAATTAGGAAAAGGGAACAATTCAAGGCCCACCAAAAAAATTCAAAAATAAAAACAACCTCTTCTTAAAATAGATTTGTTTGATTGGAATAGTCTTCTTGCTTCACTTGAATCTTGAAAGAAATCTTCTTTTTCATCACCTGCGACATTGGACGAGTCAATCCAACTAGTCTTTTATTTAAGTGAGCACTGGATTGGGATATTTCAAGGAAAGCATTTAGACCTCAGCTTTTTTCTATTAAAGTGTTGTCATTACTTGAGGAACTTAGATAAGAGACAGGGGTTTGTAATCCACATTACCTATTGCTTGATCTTTGGTGTCATGGAAGTTTTCATTAAGGGATTTGAACTTTTTGGAAGGCAAATGTTTTCAGAACCTTCTTTCCAATCACCAATGATGTCATCAGAACACATAAATGTGATCAATAGAAGCTTGTTTACATTCTAAAAACTAATGTATTTCATATTAGCCAATCACCTTTGATGAGGATTTGTACTATCAAAAATTCAGGGTCAAACTGAGGTAGGCAAAATTCTCCAAAAAACCATGAAAGCGATAGCTCTAAGAGGCCCACAAGTGACTAGAAGGGGAAAAATAAGTCCTTCTGTCATCAAAAACCTCTATATATTTCTCACTTCA